TCATTCACTCCGTGGATATGCTGCCATTTTTTCCACATTTTTGCATATTCGCATATATATAAAGCGCCATACTGCTAAAAAAAGTGGTGCTCTGGCATGCACAATATTTGGGCGGTAAAGTTTATTTACTCCGGTTCTATACGAATCGGAGGATAAAAGAAGGCACTCAAAACGAAAATTTTCGTCTTTCTTGCGTCTTACGAAAGGCCAAGGCCTCACAAGCCTGGAACATATACTGGTAAGGCTGACATAGCCTCAACATATACTGGTTAGCCTGACATAGCCTGAACATATACTGGTAAGCCTGACATAGCCTGAACATATACTGGTAAGCCTGACATAGGCTGAACATATACTGGTAAGGCTGACATAGCATAACACAGCAAACCCTATAGCATGTCGTGAATATGCGGCTGTGGTGCTCAGCTGCCGGTCCGAAAGTCCCGGGTTCGATTCCTGCCGCGGATTTCGGTGGAGACGTAATAGTTTAGGCGCGTGTACTGTGTGGCATCGGTGCACGTTCAAGACCACCGAATGATGAAAATTTATGAGGCGTTCCACGACGGCGTTCTCTCATATTCACCGTGACTTCGGGACGTGAAACCTCAGATAGTATTTATTATTAAAACTAGCACGTTCATGGAAGCTAGTTTTGGTCCTTACGTCACAGCACGGTGCCGTGGGCTTCTCGTCGCGAGCTCGTGCAAAATATCGTGTCATTTCCAAGGCCATCTCGCAACGGGACTCCGTTACTGGAGTACAACCATTGGCCTGCGCAGAGTTCCCCATTAAGGGTTGGGGGCGAGTGTTTATCATCGAGTCCCCTTCTCTAATAGGTCAATGTATGGGGGACATTTTGCTTCCCCCTCTCAGTTCATTCCCACTTCCTCGACAAGCTTCGACACTTAGGAGGCGAGGTGTTTGAGGTTCGGAATGGGCACCCCTTGATGACTCGAGTGCATGGTGGCAGCGCTAAGGAAGAGCCGTTGTTCAGTGAAGAGACATCTTCAGACATCTTCCCGAGTCTAAGCTCGAACTTCAGTTTTTTTTTTCCCCACATCCAAACACGCTCTTTTCAACCCTCGGTCAAATAAAAGGTCTTTCCTTTCCTCGCAGGCCGAAAGCAGAGCGAGGCAGCTTAGCGAAGCCACCGACTCCGAAGGCTTCGCCGATTACTCGGGCATACAGCTGGCCTACGCGGCGTACCGCAGCCTGCCGACCGCGGAGCGGGACGCGACGCTGCCAGACGTGAACCTGAGCGCCGAGCAGACCTTCTTCGTGGCGCACTGCCTCAAGTGGTGCGACCTGATCGAGAAGCGTAAGCCGGGGGGCCGCTACTGGCCAGGCAGGTCGCGCTGCATCGTGCCGCTGCAGAACATGCCCGAGTTCGCCCGCGCCTTCGGATGCAAGGCCGGGGATCCGATGAACCCCTCGAAGAGATGCGACTTCTGGTAGAGAACGCCACGATGTGCGTTCACCGCACGCCTGCTATGCGTGCCTGCATTGCAGCTGCAGCGTACACGGTGCAATGATTGTCGGCCTTTATTGTTTATTATTTCTTCCTATGCTTATTTCTCTTGTTAATATTACATGTTCGTCGTATCGGCTCCTTTTGGCTTCCTGCTTCTTGGTCCTTTGTTTTGTATATGTCATGTATGCAATACTAATTGTTGGTCTTTTACGGCACGAAAACTTATGATTATGAAGGGTGTCTTATAGTGGGGAGCTCTGGAAGTTTTGAGCATGGGGTGTTCCTTAAAGGGCCCGTAAGCCACTTCCAATGTTTTTTTTTTTTTTTTCAGACATTTCAAGTAAACGCGTGCATCGTGTGCAGAATGCCGTTGCGATCAACGATTCCGCACGTGGCAGCGCTACGAGCCGCCGGCGCACAACTCGTTCAAAAAAACAATCTCGCCTCCTTTCCAGGCCTTTCGGCCCTCCGCGTGACACGCCGTACCACTTCTCTGGCGCACCGAGTCAAATATGCTGTCGAGCAAGAGCATACAACTTCCGGTCAGTCTGCAAGCAGCTGTCCGCGCTGCTTGTCGTTCCTCGTGTTGCCTGCGTGCATGTAACACGTGCGGGGCACGGCGTGTCCCCGTCGGGTCAATCATGTTGGCAATCCTTCGAAGGAATGCACGCAATGCAGGTTCCATACCGGCACAATTACGGCAGCCACGGTTCGCCATCAAGCACGGAACTGACGGAGTTGACGGTGGGAGTCGCGGCAACCGAAAGTAGATGGCGTTTCAAGCAGCGTGTCAGCGATGACGTAAGCCACGCGAGAGTGGGAGGGGCGCTAGGCGAGAGGGCAAGGCAGCGTGGGATAGGATACCAGCGGAGGGAAGCGCAGGAAAGAGCGAAAAGTATGGTCGTCATGGTTTCGATCGTCTAACGCGTTTAACTCAGCTATTACTGCACCGTTTCTAAAAAATTCTCACGGCTCCGTGTTCGTCGTACACTCGTGCGCAATTTCCCCACAACTGAACTGCGACTTCTGGGCGGTTTACAGGCCCTTGAAAGGGGTTCTGCAACACTTTTTGAGCATGGTCAGAAAACGCTACCAATCGGTAGTAGAAGCTACTGAGAACACGCTAGCCAAACGTTACAGCATAGCTCTCGGTCTGGGATTCACAATAAGTAATCAGTCAGCTAAAAATTGATTTCTCTTCACTCGACAAATGACGGAAGACGCTCAAAAATGACCCGTAGTTTACCATCTCTCAGCCATTTTCTGATTTGAACATGGCGCGCCCTGTTGTCACAGAGGTCGCCACGAGAGGCCGCCACTTGTCCTTGCGTGCGCGCGTGATCACACTGAGAAAGTTGCGTATTCGAAGAAAAAAAAAAGAAAGAAAAAAGTGCTCAAGGTCACGACGCGCACGTGACGTTTTTCGTTTGCCGCTCTAATTCCTCCCTGCTTAGCTTCCAGCGCTTTCGTCGGAACGAGAGAAATAGAGAATGCAATAGCAGCGTGTGACAAATCTTTGTAACTCCGCTCATACAGGACGGATTCCTAAAATTTTTGTGGCGTTCAGTTGGTGAGGCAATACGCTTTTCCAGTGAATTAATTCTGTGGTTACTCAAAAGCGTGCCCCTAAAGCACTTATGCACGGGCCCCTAGCATTTCGACAACATCGAAATGGCTTTTTATAAATTCGCATTTTTTGTTATTGTTATTAAGGCGGAAGCCTTCAGACCTGACCACATGTGCGCGTGACTTTTTGGCTCCCAAAAGGCGCCCAGCATCGCGCAGCCGTGAAGAGAGGGTACGCATTCAACTATTTGATGACGTCATCGTGGGACGTTGCGTGATGTCACGCTGATAGGCGAACGCATATTTCCCCGCTTTATATATTAAGACATTTCCTTGGGAGCTATCCTTCTGTGGATGTATGATAAAGCGGCAAACTGTAGTTTAATACCGCCAGAGGCGTTATTAATGTGTAGTTAATGGGGTCCTGACACTCGGTGAAAATTTTTGTGCTTTAATTTTTTGCGGTGGTACTAATGTATTTACAAGTGTTTAACGTGACCACTGCAGACATTCTACGTATAAACACCCCCTGAAAAAAAATTCCTGTGTACGGCCCTGACTACCGCCAATGCAAGAAAGTGCTAGCACTCCTTTCTGGAAACTCCAGCCCCATCACGGTGGTCTAGTGGCTAAGGTACTCGGCTGCTGACCCGCAGGTCACGGGATTGAATCCCGGCTGTGGCGGCTGCATTTCCGATGGAGGCGGAGATGTTGTAGACCCGTGTGCTCAGATTTGGGTGCACGTTAAAGAACCCCAGGTGGTCTAAATTTCCGGAGCCCTCCACTACGGCGTCTCTCATAATCATATGGTGGTTTTGGAACGTTAAACCCCACATATCAAATCATCTGGAAACTCCAGGTACACCTGTGCGCCAAAGTTTACAGACCATTGTCGTTTGCATACAGTTACTGCCTACTTAGGGCGGCATAAATTGTGGAGCTCACCAAGACTTCGGCCAGCGCTGCTATGGTCCATACGCTTTTGCTCACGGGCACCTACTTGCCCCAAGAACTTCCATGCCGCTCTCGATAGTCAGTGTCGCTACGTGAAGGGCAGTTTCACTATCTCCGGCACCGGCCCATTCTCATAGTCGCTGCGTGGATCCTGAAGCTTCAGTGCCATTGCAATGTGGCATTTCATAGACTTCGCGACAGTCCGCTAGATGGCGGTAACACCGTGGAAATGGTCGCTGTTCCCGCTGCAATTAAGATTCGGGAATTTAAGAAGCCTGCCGCGTTCACATCAGCGCTGTATCTGAACTGCATCAGCCCTGTTCTTAGCCCGGCATAATCTTTCCTATTCGCAAAGATTGAGAGCAGCCAGAAAAACGACTGTTTCGACAATATACCTGCAGTCCATGGCGACTGTCGCAGACTCCGAGAGAGTCCATGGCCACCGACTTTTAGAGAGACTTTTCAGTTTATAAAATTGCTGTGCGCTCCCTTTATCGACTGCTAAGGAAGCTACATTGATAAAAAATCATGCCTCTGTGGGATCAATAAATTATTCCCCAGATTCTGTCCTATACTTTTACGTGAATATCCTGTACATCCCAGTAAAAATAATGTTCCACATACATTCCGTGGCTCCATAAGGTGGTTCCTTAATGAAAAGGCAAACTCTTTATTCATCCCGACTTTTTTTGTTTATTACACATATAGAAGATTAGTACAAAGTGTTCGCAAGGATGAAACGACAGTGATATGCAGATCGTTAAGAATCAAGACAAGATATACAAGCGATGGGTAGTTGTGTTAGTAACATACCAAATAAAGCAATTCCCTTTCATATAGACCCGACACAGTATTAAAACATGCATACGATTACAGCAAAGCGCACATGGAGAAAATTGAGCTTTTTCTTCAAATGAAGAGGCAAAAAATAAAAATAACCACAGGAACGAGTTATGAGATGAAACACCATGAATCGATGAGGGCGACATTAGCTGTGTGTCATCACAATCAAATCAAACCTGTTAAGTTACATCTGGTAACGTTACAGATACTACCCTCTCGTTACATCCGGCAAGGCGACTTGTCACCCTAGATGACGCCTGCAGTTTATTAAGAACAACAGTTTCAAGCACTGCCCTAGCTTCATGGAACAACACGAGACTGCCATGTAGTGTGCCTGGGTTCGACTCCCACTAGATCCCCCAATTTTATTTCTTTGCAGCTATCGCTGCTTTTCGTTCAGCACCAACGCCCCGAAATGATAAACTGACGCCTACACTGGGTACTTCTACAACAAGGACTAGTTAACAATATCACGTTAGTGTAACACATATGAGTACATTTTTTTAAAAATCCCGTCCAAAGGCAAATACCTACTTATATGCGCCCTTCGAAACAAAAGCCACACTAATATGACAGGTAAAACACGACGTTCAATCTGGACAATATAAGTTTTCACGAAAGGTTCAAAGAAATATGCGCTTCACGTAGACTGCCTGGTCGAATCAGAAGATCAGTTTCATGAAACGACGTGATGCGTATAGGGAATGGCTAGGATCTCTTTTGAAGATCAAACTATTAACTATAGTTCACGAAACCGACAATGCCTTTATCGCACATAGATTACTTTAATACACGATTGTCATGAAAGATGTGAAAGGTGACGAGCAAGTCCCATGTGATGAGATTATCACGTCAATTGATGATAGAGAGTGCAAACAAACAGATACAATTCGAACGTAATAAAGAGAAATTTTCATTAAAATAACGAGGTAATCTTCAGGGCGACACAATATAAAAATATCGTCCGACGTGACGTCAGTTGAGCCAATGACGTCACAGAAGGTTCATAGCCGCCCAGCCTGTACTTGTGGCGGCACATATGGCGCAAATTTTACGTCCAACGATTGTCATCCGGCAATGGTGCGACACTGTTATTTGGGCACTCGCACACCGTCGGTCCTCGTCACTGAAGTTTGGGCGAAAGCGAGGTTATTCCGAGACGCCGATGTCTTCGCGCGACCTTGGGCCTGGGGAGGAGCCGTCGCAGCAACACTGGAACCTGGGATACGATTTGAAAAGATTGCCCAATAAGTACTCGCTATTCCTAATTGCTGATTTGTATGCAATGAAGAGGCGACATGAATACACACAGGATATTTGCAAGATGGGATGCTTTCTCAAGGTTTTGTTTTTGTTTTCCTAAAGTTTTTTTTTTGCTAAAGTGGTTGTGGCACACTGGCACCAAATTCAGTCTGGACAATACAGATTGCCAAATTATTCAGTCTCGACAATATATCTTGCCTCTAATCGGGTCTGGAAAACTGCCCTCTACACTTCACGCAAGTGACATGCAGCGATGGTCAAGAACAGCTTAGGGGATTTAAGAACACGCCGAACGTCTAGGACAACATTGAAGTGGGTTAAGGACAGCTGTGATCTCAAACGTAGAATCAAACATCACTTTAAACACAACTACACAATAAAGTCCACCGGCCCCTATGCACCTGAGCTAAGAGGACTCAAAGGCGCCTGCCATTTTCCCCCTTCTCCGTGTATTTTATCCATCCTATCACAATGGTTCTAAGGAAAGGGAAATGAAGAGAAAAGCGTGCCGTGGTAACTCTCTTTCATGGAGGTCACCTCAACAACGACGAGCAGGGAGGGGGGGGGGGCGTGGAAGTGAAAGAAACTGGAATACAGGAAAGAAGGGAGAAAAGAGAGTACGCATTCGCACACCGTAGTTTCGCACTACCATCACTGTAAGTTGTCTGCAGCTACTTCACTTGCTTTTGCAGTCCCTCCGTGATCTGCTTACAATATACGACGTGACGACAATATTTGATGACGTCGTCATCGGACGTTGCATGGTGTCACACTGACGTCACAAATTATGGTGACCAATGAGTTATACCGGTGCTTTTTTTTGCATCACACTGGTTGACACCGAGGACGGTAATTTTCCGCCTTTGATGAGGCATCAAATTTGTCACCTTAAAAGTAAACACAATGAAACGGCGAGCAAGCACCCCAACTCGACCAAGCGTCACCCTCCCCGTTTCGGGAGATCCTGAATAAGCGCAAAAGACCGGGGAAGCACCCCCCTCTCCTGACCCTCCTCCCATGCGGCCACTTTTCTCTTTTTTTTTTCAAGACGGGCCGCTTGCGCAAGAGAACAAGAATGGGGTATCATAGACTAAATGCGCACCTAGTGTTAATGATATTCCGTCGTCGTGTAAATAAATAAAGCATGTCATTAACGTGTATGGGCATTTTTTTACATTCAGCGACTCTCCCGCTTCCAGCGCCCCTCCCCCCCCCACCCCCAAAGCTGGTCGGATTATTCTTCACCATAGAGGGGGGGGGGGTGCACAATTCAATAAACTAGTGACAGCAACGGTGCCGAGTGCCGTCCTACTTCCTAGCCTTTGAGCCCTCGAGCTGGAAGCTTACTGTCGCGAATTTCCAACAAGCCGATACCGCCACACCTGCCATCCGCCTTTTTTTCACAATTCCACAGCGCATGCGCCATTCCCCTAGCGGAAAGTCGTGAAACAACTCTTCAGTGTCACATGCTTTGCCTTTGACATCGAGGTTTTTAGCAAGCTACGGAAACACGTTACGGAAAGGCGGCAAAACGGATCCGCCTGACGAGTGCGCATGCGCGAACACTGCCGGTACGTGTATAGGCGTATACCGAAAGATGTGATTCTTAAGTGAAAATAAATAAAAGGTGAGCCCCGTAACTGTCTGCATCATAGTGCGACACCTCAACAGTAGCTTACGGGGAATGGGGGTAAGGAGGAATTAAATGGATAGGATTAAAGTTATATAGATAGAGAGGGGGTGGAGAGAGCGTGGCGCAGGAACAAAGAAAGGAACCGGGTCGTATTTCCGTTACGTTTTTTTGTAGCTTGTTAAAACATCGGTGTGCCGGCCCCAACCAAAACCGCTACCAGAATGGGAGAGGGCGGGACGAGAAAACAGAATAGGTGGATTCAAGTCAGCTGCTGAGTCCATGGTTTCCTAAAATTAGCTAGAGGGGAGCTTTGCGCTGCCTTCGTTCAACGATTATGCGAACGATGGGCAGTGCACGAATTTGCCTTGTCTTCGTGCTTGCGGGCTTCGAACGCACCCGTGGCTTTGTCTATTGTTGTGTTTTGCTTTTGTTTCGAATAAAAGGACCACCGTTGTCAACTTCGCGAGTCGATGTGAATTGAATAAGCCTGCTAGGTTCAGGTGGCGAAGTTCAACTTCTTAACACTAGCCGATTGTTGTTTCGTGACAAAGCAGAGTCAGGCCACACGGGGCCAAAGGGAGCCGGAAGAAAGAGAACTAGACAAGACAAGGAACGTTTTTGTGCTACCCATCAATCCGATCCCCGCTGAAGCGCCATGCGTTGCAGCTCGCAGAGACTCCAGCGCCAGAGTTCCCTATAGTGTACTGAGAAAAAAACTCTATGGCTGAGTTTAGCAAAGCCTTTGGGATGGTGGCCGCGCCCGCCATATCAAAGGCCATGAGTCAAGTCGCATGGTCCTGCGGTACTCACCGCTAGGTGCCGCCTCCTCCTGACCCGACGCTTCGCCGAGCGCTCCCTGTGCCGCCGTGCGCAGGGCGTCTTTCCAGCCCAGTCCACCGCGGCGCTTCTCCATGTACCGAAGACACAAGCTCCAACCAGCGAGCACGTCAACGTACACGGTCTTGGCCATGTCGAACGTCACCAGCAGCGAGATGACCATTGCGGCGGCCCAAACGCACGCTCCGATTGCGTTGTCTCGCCCGAAGTTGTGCAGGTTGTGGCCGTACTCCTCGTGGTGAGACTGTGTGATTGAACAGGGCCAGTCAATAAATAAATAAATAAATAAATAAATAAGGGTGCACTTGTGCCACAGTTCTCGTAGACTCGTATGATTCCGAACATCCCCCTCCTCCCGCTACCTAGAAAAAGAATGAGATCTTTAAATCATCTTTACACTTCATAGTGATGATTTTCAATAAATATTTTTATTTGCATACTGAGTCAAAACTCAGCCCTCAGACATCATCCTACGCCGACGTGAACATTAATAGCACATTAAGGTTACAAAGTATTGGTATCAAATTATGACGTCATACGATGACGTCATTATGGTTTCAAATTTGACCAATAGAAGAAAGTAGGCATGATAGACAGATATACATAAGTATAACATGCCAGATTAATGACGCTATATCACCCTCATAAATTAGCCCCTGCGTGTCGTCACCATGGCTTCGTGCACGTGAGAATGCTTTAACTTTAGGGCGGGAATTTCTTGCGTCCTTGTCACCCTATACGCACCGCATCTGGCGACGCATGGCAACCTGGGTTTGGGTGTGCTCCGCGGTGTACAGACAGACCGCAAGGAAAACGAGGTATGAGCACCGAATCGATGGGGATCGTTCATTAGAACTGCGAGTATGTGGTTCAACTTAGTGTGCAGTTAGAGATGAGAAATTCTTGAACACGGGTTGTCGCTGGAGTCAATGTCTTGAAAAGTGATCTTGCAGCACCAGCAAGATAAGACCGCTCCAGACGCTGGCTCTGGCGACAGTCCGCCGCGCTGGAGCAGTGCTTAAGGTGCTCGTCTACTGACCTGAAGGTCCCGTGGTGACATCCCGTGGTCAAGAATTCTCACCTCTTCCCGCTTCCACCTTCTACTACACTTCGGTCCTAATTAGTCTGATCAGAAAATATCCACAGCCGCGCATGCTCAGTACACGTTTTGCAAGCTGTCAATTCATCGTCACCGTATACCTGCAGCATGGCTGCTTCGTCAGACATGGCAAACTTCTGGTACAAGCAGGACGCCCTTCGGAACGTGTCCTCCAGGTCGCCGCTATTGTGGGCCCCCTGGCACCAAGACGGCAACACGCACTGTCCCGGTGCGTACAGATCGACAAGGGTGCGCCGGCTGGCAGACCAGGTACTTGCTGTACTTGTCGTAGGCGTACATCATCATCACGAAGACGATGCGGGACAGCATTCGCTGCGTGAGAATACAAAACAGCAGGCGAATCGTTTGACAGTGGGGCTTTACACGGGTAAAGCCGATTACGACCTAAGAATAGGCGTAAAGAAGAGAGGCATGACTGGACGAGTTGGTAATTTCCAAGCACTTAACACACGGGACATGGGAATAATTGGCAAAGACGGCGCCGCTGAACCTGTAACTGGGATTTGTTGAAAAATGACATGTTACTTCCCTAAGAAAATGGCGAATGTGACATTCTCATAATCAAAGACAATGCATTCGTGATTCCCAGAGGCAGTGCCACGTGAGAGCTCACTAACAAGCCCGTTTCATTTGTCCTCCGGTCGGTCGTAGACAGGGCAAACAACCGATGCGAATGCGAGGCTTTTGGAGCACAGTAATTACTTTAAAAGAGAAAAAGTAATTTTACCAAGAATTGTTTTGAGTACTAGTGTGTACCGTGTTTTTCTGGCACTGAAATCTTGCTTGTTGACCATGATAGCTAGACAACAAAAGGTGGCTTGGGCATTTCGTATATAAAGAAACACAAACGACGACTGTGTTAGCCGACGTTTCCTAGCGTTATCATTCAAGGAAACGTGTTTAGAAAAAGTTGTTAACCATTTAGAGTACTGGGCACTCTCAGTGAGCTTCACACTTGATGGGGCCGTGCCGGCAAAACTTACGCCGTGAGAGTGTTCACGGCATGAAAGGGATTCGAAAATCATTAAGAAAGGGAATGAATGATAAGGAGTGACCTGTGACCGTGCACGAGGTGGTGATTTTTGGGGAACGATGAGTGTAGTGGTTTTCGACAATGTTCGTGTCGCTAGCTTGCGATCGAACACTGGACCTTTCTGGCAATTTGAGCCAAGATTCCTACTTCATTGCTCGGTCGAAACGTAACATTTTTTGCAAAAGACGACGAAGTTTTAGTTTATAATATACCTTCAGACTACTCATCTTCAGCATTACTGTCAGCCTTACCTGATTCAATCACGCCTACTCACCTGTATTTCAAAGCAGTATTGTTCTTACACGATTTCCGTGCTCATTGATCACATGCGTAAATTATGTCGGCGGTTGCGACTTCGCCATTCTCCAGGAAGGTTCCAGGAACTCTTCACGAAGGTTCTTCGATAAATATATATTATTTAGTCATCTCTTTCAACGAAAATCGTGCTTACGCGTTTGCAACCACTCGTAACTGGTATTTCAAGGTACTATATCAAAAGGTGTCAGGAAGAGCATCGATTAAGTGAGGTATTGGTGTTTAAAGAGCATTAACGTCATGTTCTAAAAAGCTAATTATAGGTAAGGGACTCATGAGTCGAGTTACTCGTACTTGCTCAGACCCGGATGGAGCCTGATTCTGAGCGAGTCCTCGTGACTAAATGTCGATGAGCTTGGGTCCGATTGAATATGGTTGAAAAAATTTACGTCAGTGGGAGCCTGAGTGAGCTCTGAGCACAAAATGTATCTCAGTAGAGTGTCTGAATGAGAACCTACGAATATAAAAGCGAAAATGTAATTATGGTTTGAGCGGAAACCAGTGGATAATGAAACCATCTAGGTTCTGGGTGCGGAGAGCTCGTCTGTAACAAAGAAACAATGCTAGCATAGGCAACCTCGAAGGGTCTCCGGGCTTGCATAAGTTTCTCTTTAAGGTCTGTCAGCTAAGGATGTTACCCACAGCAGCTTGAAACGGTGCCCACGTAAGCCTCTGGGTGTCTCTAATATCTTTTAATATAATAATAATGTCCCCAAACGCAAGGTATGAAAGCACATTCCTAAAAGGTAGTGCAGAAAAATTGAGAGCTGCAATAAAAGACGCTTTGATTGATTCCAGCTCGTATAAGTAACGGGGCGGCATGTTTCATCTTTACTGGACAATGATCAATATATAATGCTCTAGGAGCCATTTTCAAATTAGTTGAAGATGCGAAGCAGCTCTTTGACTAGCCTGCGTAACGATGTCCGTTCGTGTCTCCGTGTCAACGCGCCGCAGGTGTTGGGGTGGTGCAGCGTAGGTCACGCCTTCTCTCGCAGTGCGCGGTGACGTCACCCTCTCTGTATCTCTCTCTCTTGCCTGCCAGGCGCTCACCGCAGCACCCGCGTTAGTGCCGTTCAATACGTGACGCCATCCATGCGCAACGCTGTTGCGTCGCAACCAATCAGGGTTCCCTTTGGGAAGATGATGCTTAGGGATGTAGCTAAAATGCTTTAGGTAAGCGCTCGCTCAAGATATACAGCCAGAACGAAAAAAAAAACGCGAAGAGAATGCCATCTACATTCTCTGCCGTTTCACAGTTCTTTCCAAGTGGTTGTTGCCTGGATTGTAGCGAAAAGCCAGCGAAGTAACCTCTAGTACAATCAACTTGTCTGACTCTAAAGAATTTCTTCGCGGTGGTTGACTCGTGAGACACTCATTTAATGAAGCCTTTAGAATATTACTCGCAGAAGCGTTTCAGAGCCTCCTTAAAGCAGCGAATTCCTAAACAGCACCGAATTCAAAGGAGAGACAGTAGTTCTATTCTCGCCTTCACTTCCCTACCTCCAAGCGCTATCTCCTCCTCACCACCCATTTCTTGTTGAAACGCGTAGCAAGTCAGCACTGAGCTGTTGAGATGGCCAAGATTTTGCGCTCTTTCCACAGACACGCTGCTATCTCCGCCTGCGCAGTCACGAACGCGGAAAACGAAGAGAAATTGGGATATCGCGCAAGATAGTCGTGCGAGACGAAGCAGCTGGGCGTGCGACTGCATAAAGTCAAATCAGGGCAGGTGATAGGCTCATTCGCTACAGATATCTCTCGTACACAGACCAATCAAGAGCTTCCTTCATCCTGAGGTGACGCGAACACACAATGGCGTCACGAATTGGGCCGCAAAGACGGACAGCGCCAGGAGAGAATGACACTTTCTTTCTTTATATTTTATTCGGCTTGTACTTCTCTTCGATTTGTAGGCCCAGCACTAAAAAAGCAAGCCACGGTCACGAACATTAGCTCGTGCTGATTTTCGCTAGAACAAACGATCACAAGTACGTTTTCTTTTTTTTTTCAGAACAGTGAGCGATTGGAATTTCCTTCTTATTGATTATTTTGGGTCGAATGATTTCGTGGTTGTCCCAGGAAATCGTTGTTTCGTGTGAATTTTAGTTATGTCGAAATGTGATTGCTGCTTTTTTTACGCACTACATTCTTTTTGTGTGGCATTGTTTTCGCGTGTTTATATTTTCATTTGTTTGTTTTCTCCCTTTTTGTAATGCCCCTCCTGCTTGGGCCAGAGTATTGGCCAGCACTATTTCTACATATATAAGTAAATAAATACATACAAAATTTCAGAGGAGCTCTAGGGGCCCTTCAAACGACGGAAATCACATCAAAATACCCGGCTTACGTATGATTCCAAACCATGGTTTGTACCTATAGACAAAATCCACCACACTTACGTCACGAAAAGGCGGTGGCGCTGTGTTGGAAGGCAGAAGACGCTTTGCCTACCGCAGTTTGTGCTGGGTTTTCAATGGTGCATGCGGTGTTCTCAGTCAAGCAACGAGAAAAAAAAAAACGGTATGCCGATGAGCTACGTTGCGGTTGGATGTGTGTCGTGTCTCACACCTTAGTTTTGTTCGTTGGCGCACATTGCAGCCCTCATGGCTTTTACAACGCTTATGGCGACTCACAGCGTCGATAAGTTGGCGCACATCGCAAACCTCAGCGCTTATGGCGGAAGTTACGTGTGGACGTCGCTATAATTTTACCCGTATTGTCGACATCGGCCTACCTGTGTTTACAAACATGGAATGGGTCTATACGCGGTGCACTTACATCGCGATGCAACGTCCACAACTCACCTTGAAGGACGTCAGCAGGAGGGGAACGGTGCCGCCTCCGGAGACGATGATGGCCGCGTTGATGAGCAGCCTGACCAGGAAGGCGATCGTGGTGGCGACGCCGTCCTCGGCTTCGCGCATCTCCGCGATGAACAGCGACGCGACCCCTACCGGCACGCCGAAGGCGACCGTCTTGGCCGCGAGGAACAACGGCACGTCGAGGCCGACCAGCAGCCGCAGTAGCGAGGGAAACATCTGCAGCGCCACCCGGTGAAGCATCAGGAGAACCGGGTGCATCTGCGCGAGGTGGCGTGCGGGACACAGAGACTTTCTATGGCACTGAACTCAACCGTGAGAGTTAACGGACAACGCAAGTGCGTGCGTGCGTGTCGGAATAGAACTACTATTGCGAGTCTGTAAACAGTGGCAGACGCCGTCGACATACTGAGCCGCTTGTAGCGACGTCGCGGCATGTAGACTCCGCCGAGCCCAATGCTCGCTACCACCTTAGCTGTGTTTATTAGCTATCCGACACAGCGCAGATGTGCTCTCCGACACAGCGCAGCTTCGCACTCTGAAAACTTCAATGTTATAAGTTTCACTGTCTGTGATAAGTTCACTATTAGCGGTGAAAATGAAAATTGAAGTTTCGTTTTTTTTTTTTTTTTTGCCCCGCCGCGGTAGTCTAGTGGCTAAGGTACTCGGCTGCTGATCCAGTAGGTCGCGGGATTTCCGCGGCATGCACCACGCGAATTCTCTGTCTGCCTCACATAATATTTTCCTCGGCTGTTTTCCGGAAATTTCAATCAAATAGGCTCAACATCAGCACTGATTAAAACACTTGGGAAGACGGGGATGGGGGGACGCTGCTACGTTGGTGGCGTGGGCCGCAGCAATATATTGATATTAATATTATATCGCTTGTAAAGTTGCCTAGCTCTGCACGACTTGTTTTTGATGGGAGCTGCTGCGCTTCGCTCATCCACTCTTAAAATTGTGGCTCGAGAGACTTTAGGCTTTCACTCGTTTTGGGGCCACGCAATTTGTGGTGTTTGTAGTGAAAGCGAGATAATGGGCCCTCGTAGGTCGTGGCGGGCAGCCGGTGTACGCGGTGGCTGGTACACGTGTCGGACACCTTCAATTTCTGGTCTTGTATCGAGTGAACAAACGAGGCCTTCCTGATCCGATGAGCTCGTTAAAGTACGACAACAAAAAACCACAATGCTTCATTTTCAACATCGTACACAGCAACAGAGGACGAGCCCCCAACAAACCGCGCTGCAGCACGCGAACTGCCGTAGGTATCCAGGAAGGTACCCAGGCATGGCGGGAGAGGGCTACAACGACGGAAGTGACATCACATGAACACTATGTATAGATTTGATTCACCCACGGAACTCGTCAAAGCTAACCACACTGAACCCCTCAAAATGAGAGGACAGGAACACATTGTGCAGTTTCTTAAACTGCTTTACACGAACAACTCACCCCGAGATGTATCTTTGCATCTGTAAACCCTAATAAGATAGCGGCGTGCGCAGATTTCCCCTTCGGTGGCGGAGTGGGGCGATTTTCAATGCGTGGGGCTGGCTTGTGTGCCCCTCTCTCGCCCTCCCTGTCTCCCCATACTACAACGAAACGGAGTTGTGTAATCGAATAGGCATCAGAATCTTCGTTAATAAAAATTAACTTGTTTCGTAGGGTTTGGATTAGTTTTCTTAGAACTTTAATTTAGAATTTGTATGTCTTATTTAGTTCTTTCACATTTGTGTTCAGTACACCTTTCTTTGTCAACAAGAATTCTGCGAGCCCCGGAAACTGGCGGGTCAAGCACGTTACTTTTTGTACTCTCCCTGCTTTTGCTGAGGCGTACAATGAACTCCACGCTTGATCCTGAGCAACGCAGCTGCTACAAGGCGTTTCGCTGGTGATGAGCTCCATGGACGAACAGAATGAAGAAGGAGCGCGTCAAGGCTTATTTTGAATGAAAAGGTGCTGGGATTGTAAGGAAAAGAAAAAAAAAGAGCCAAAAACGTGCGTTGGTACATTGTACGAAGCAGAACTGCAGGTGCGCTGGGAAGCACTTGCAACGATATGTCTGCTAAAGCGATTCAAGTTTCCGAAGAGGTCGTTAAACTTTAAAAGCTCCAGGAATCACCTGAGGGATAACAGCATTTCATGGCTACAATTGCACTTTGAAAAACATTGTTTTTGCGATTGACCAAGCGCCCCGTGCTGGTATGATCGGTCCATTTTACCCCCTTCCTTCTTTAAAAAAAAATGCGGCCACCCCAACCCCTGCACAAGAAGTATTCCCCAGACTTTGGCACAAACTCTCACCCCCTTCCCCACTCTCTCGGGGTAGCTTACCCACGAATATGCCTTCAAATACGGGTTACTGCTAACCCCCCCCCCCCCGAAAAGCACATTTTTGTTGAACGACACGAGAGATTTTCATCAGCAAGTTCTCGTGAAGGAGCTCCAGAGATAGGAAGAGGGAGGATGGACAGTTCTATAGCCTGAAAATAAATTCTGGGGCATCAGAAGCAGAAAGGCCTACATGAATACAAAGCGCGCCGTAGTGGGACATTATTTATGACCATTGGACAGTAAAATAAACGGAGCTTACACAGACTCACCCCAGAAATATACCGCTTTGGACGCACCCAGAATCAGGCTCATCAAATTGTTAACTCAGCCTGACTCGTGCTCAGACTCACGGCTCAATCTGAGTGAGTGAACACATGGGTGAGTTTTGCGATTATCATTTGCAGTGATTGTGTTATAAGAATTAAGAAATCAGTACAGATAAAAAGACAACATGCCGATGGCAGGAACCGAGCCCGCGACCTTCCAATAACGTGCCCGACGATCACCCCGATCGATCTATATGGTAGCTGCCATCGTCTAGCCACTTTATCAGGCACATGTCTGTGCGTTTAAGCCTCGCAGTTTAAAAGTCAGCACCGTTCGTAGCCGTGACTGGGATGATAGTTATAGCGCGAGAACAGAACGAACACACGGAGACAAGAAGGACACGAAGTTTGTGTTAGTTCTGTTCTCGCACTATAACTATCATCATGTCATACCAACTAGCCCAAACTGCCAAACTTCTGCGTGACTGCGAGTTCGGATTGATCGTTTTTTTTGGGTGCTAGTGGCACGCACCATACGAGCTGGCAGCAGATCAATGGTCCCTCGCTTACTACCCGAAGGTATCAAGTTTGCCAGAACGATACCCTCGCTATGAATGAACGAAAGAATTAGAATATATTAAGGGCTCGAACTAGCCTGAATACAGCGCTATAATAAGAGTAGGATGAAAAGAAAAAAAGCCCGGGACGGCGTTTTTTTCGACATACACTTTCCATTCTTGACATGACACAAATACTACAATGTACTTAAAAAACAATGCAGCTAACACTCCATATGCCTTATTTGGATTCGTTATTGAGTAGTTTTCATTAATACAGCTACACGTGCGATGAGATATGAAATTAAAATTCTGTCGCGCAGAAGCCACGTGGTGAGGACATGCCACCGAATTTTCGCAGGAGGTCGCGCTCCGCGCACATCCATGCGTTCGGCTCAGCACAGTGTGTGCTCCTCTACCAGGCTGCAGAATCGAGGCGCCTTCTTCTAACACCACCCACCCCACAACGTCGCGAAACCCCAGAATCGGCGAAGACTCACCGCCAACGTTAGACGCAGGTCACTATGATGGGCGTGATGCCGTTGTCGAGCGCTGGTAGGCACTCATCGGGCAGGGCCCTCCGTTGTCGGCCGATGGTGGGTGGCCCTTGCAGCAGGCGCTCGCGTGAAGGCTCCGCTGTTTCGTGGCTTCCTCGCTGTCCCAGTCGGCTTCGTCCGGCGGCAGGGCTTCGTCCTCGCCGTCCATGATGGCGCGCAGGACGTCCCATTCCTTGTGGCCCTTCATCTCCCGCAGGACGGCTTCCACGGCTTGCTCACTCGCCCAGTCGGGCATCATCTGGCTGTCGTCGTCTGTTTCCTAAGAGAGAGAGAGAGATAGATAGAGGGAGAGAAAGATAGAGGGAGAGAAAGATAGAGGGAGACAAAGATAGAGGGAGAGAAAGATAGAGGGAGTGAAAGATAGAGGGAGAGAAGAGTAGGCAGGCCCACCAGTCACATGCACATTCTTCTCCAGTAAACAGGCCACCCCTACCCTTGCTTCTGGACTGCTGCTTCTGTTGATGACGACCGTTCCACTGCTCAATTAATCTTTCCTCTTCTTTCCACTTTTCTCCCTTTTCCCTTCCCCGCAGGCACTGCGCCGTGCTCCCGACCGGGTTGCAGAAATTAGGTGCCTTTTCTCATCTTCTAACCACTACCCCCCCCCCCCCCCCAGTGGACAGTGACGTATCTAGGAATGGGCTCCCCGCACTTCAGTTCCACGACTTCTCCAGAATAGCTTTTCTTGGAAGTCTGGAACATGTTGCCAAGTTCACTCCCCCCGCCCCCCCCCCCCCTCAAGTTTTCTGGCACGTCGCTTGCGAACAAAAGCGAACCTGTCTTACAGCTTGTAGCTTACAAAGTACCAGGCCCAAAGCTTCAACTTCAAAGTGGTGAGGGTCAACTCCTTTCTGAACTGTTGTAAGGTAGTAGAGAAACTGAGTCACGACCTTGGCATCTAATTTTCGGAGGTCACGCATATTAACCACGTCTCAGAGCGGATAAGCGCCCTGGGAGCTTCCGTTGTCGAGGTGCATAGGCACCTGGCAATGGAGCTTACAAGAGCAGGAGCTTGGGCTAGTTTTTCTGGGTTCATGTTGGCGTACTTGACAGCGCGAGAACGTAGAAAAAAGTGAGACAGACTAGAAAAGAGTGCAGTGTGTGTGTGTGTGCGTGCGTGCGTGTGTGTGTTTATTTTAAATGCATTGTCGTTGAATGCAGAAAGTCCAAAAACAAACAACGAAGTGGGATGCGAGCCAGTGGTCTTGAGGATGGGTAAACGTTGACGAGGATGGTAGCAGTAGCCTCTGTGATGTCGAAGCCCATTTCTTCACCAGGAGTCATGTAGCCAGGCACGTCGGGCTGTCGTTCCAACCAGCGATGCAGCAGGAAACCTTGGGCAGCCTGTTTGCCGCTGCGAACTTAGACAAGGCGCCATTCGCAATAGTAACAAGCTTTAAAAAAAAAAGAAGGGGGGGGGCAGGATTAGGTACTTGCGCAAGCGTTGCGAATGCTA